TATATCTGTCCGAGGTGCGTCGAACAGATGGCTTTATATGCATTTCTTAATCAATATACTATATGCATTGATTCTTTTGCTTCTTTGATGTATATTTTATTCAATTTGCAATTGATAAAAGCCATTCAAGTTGTTTCTATTTTTTTTTTATTTAACTATTTCATAGTTTTGTGGGCTTATGGATGATATGGTACTCTGTTGAATCACTTGCAAAGTATTAGGGGCTGTCAAATGTTTTGTCTAAGTGTCTCTGGCTGTGTTGCTTTGACTTCTCGTTTTTTCTCTTGAAGGAACCGAATCCGGCATTCGTGTCTGACACATTTGTCGACCCTCTAAATATATGAAACAACTTTTTTAAAAAATCGACGATACTCGCATAGGATACATACCCTTATCTGATACTCCCACTGTAAATAACTTAGGTCTCTAGAATAATAAGGAGAGTGAATAATCATCTTGCATCAAACAAGCATGTCTCGTTTTAATTGTCAACTATTCGAATTCCGTTACATTCCGAGTGATCATTTAACTTCATTTGATTCTGAACCTATTCATAAGGGTTGATCTGCGGTTACGTTTTTCCGTATGCACAACATTAAAATGATTATGTTTTTTGTCGAAATATTGTTGCAGTTGCCGGAGTTCTGCTCGAGGGATAGCTCCTTAATTGTCAAGGAAATATTCGGGGTTACAGAGTAAGACTCTTTTCTCAGTCTACAGTTTTAGTTCTCACAAAAACGATGGGAAGAAACTGGAAATAAATACTAGCAGACGATGTGTTTCGACACATATGGTATGCTCTGTACGAAATATTTAACTGTTCTCATCCCCTTCTTCCAGTGAGGATGTGGAAAAACTCCGGCTACACACATTTTCCGAAGACGGGGATATGGGGTCGCTTGAGAAGATGGTTGACGGTTCCGATTCAGAAGATTCTAGTGAGAGTTCATCTAGTGCTGCTGCTTAATGCTATTGATCGCATTGCAATTCATCATGTGTTTAGGTGCAGAGAAAATTGGGGATTATCTCGATAAATTTTGTATAATGTTCAAATGAACTTCGAACTGGTGTAAGAATTCTGATAGTTTTTTACATCTTGATATTGCTACAGACGCTATTAGGGTATCGATAGCGAACCACTATTTAGATTCTTGTTTGCCCCCTCATAATTTAATTATGATTCCGTCCCTAGATATCATATTAGTATTATCGTTAATTAATTTTTTTAATAGAAGAATAATCAAAATGAAACTAAACTTAATTGTTGGATATAATTTTAAAGAATAGTCGAGCATTTAGCTTCCCAACGATGGGCGTATCCCCAAAACCAAGATCGTTTGTACTCTGGGCCAGGCTTCATGGTCCGTGCCCATGATCGAGAAGCTGTTGAGAGCCGGCATGAATGTTGCTCGCTTCAATTTCTCTCACGGCAGCAATGACTATCATCAACAGACCTTGAACAATCTCAGGTCTGCTATGCACAGTACCGACATCCTCTGCGCCGTCATGCCCAACACCAAGGTCCATAAGATTACATTTGGTAGAATAACTCAAGATGCACAATTGTAATGAACTTTGCATTGTTTGTCAATGATCAATAGGAGTTTTTCTATGCACTAGTGCTATGTGCAATTGTTCTATGTTTTTATTATGTATTTGGAAGGTCAGTGAAGGATCATATCTGATTGATCGTGCTTTGGTGTTGCAGGGACCCGAGATTCGAACCGGATTTCTGAAGGATGGGAAAGCTGTTCAATTGAAGGCAGGCCAGGAAATTGCTGTAACTACCGATTACGATGTCGAGGGAGATGAGACTATGATCTCCATGAGCTACAAAAAGTTGGCTGTTGATCTGAAGCCTGGGAATACCATTTTGTTTGCAGATGGTACGATTACGCTTTCGGTGTTATCCTGTGATCCCGAGGCAGGGACTGTGAGATGCAGATGTGAGAACACCGCGATGATCGGCGAGAGAAAAAATGTCAACCTTCCTGGTGTTGTGGTGGATCTTCCCACACTCACTGAGAAGGATAAAGAAGACATCTTGGGATGGGGAGTTCCAAACAGTATCGATATGATTGCTCTTTCGTTTGTACGTAAAGGGTCCGATCTCGTTAATAACCGTAAGGTCCTCGGTCCCCATGGTAAGAGGATCCAACTGATGTAGAAGGTGTGTTGATCTGTTTCACCTTTTGATTGTGATTAAGAACGAGAGATTCTATGTGGTTTCTTTGTGCAAGATGACTGTTAATAGTGTGAGGTTTCCTTGTGGTTGTGCTTCGTTTAGGTTGAGAACCAAGAGGGTGTCATCAATTTCGACGAGATCTTGCGCGCGACCGATGCCTTTATGGTTGCCCGTGGTGACCTTGGAATGGAAATCCGGTCGAGAACAGAGGCGGACCTCCATGGAGCCCGGGGTATCCCGGGTAACCACTCATCCAGGGGTGGACCTCCATGGTGTCCGGGTATCCCAAGCAACCCTCCACAAGTGTCACCCCTAATCCAAGTGCCACCCCTAGGCTCTTGCAACCCCTGACGAAGGCTCCTGGGTCTGCCTCTGGTCGAGAAGATCTTCTTTATCACAGAAGATGATGATATACAAGTGTAATCTTGCAGGCAAGCCTGTTGTTACTGCCACTCAAATGCTCGAGTCCATGATAAAGTCTCCGAGGCCCACCCGTGCCGAAGCAACCGATGTTGCTAACGCAGTCCTGGATGGTACCGATTGTGTCATTCTCAGCGGTGAGAGTGCTGCTGGAGCCTATCCAGAGCTTGCTGTGAACATAATGGCTCGAATTTGTATTGAGGCAGAATCCTCCCTCGACTTCGGAGCAATCTTCAAAGAAACGATTCGATCAACCCCACTTCCAATGAGTCCATTGGAAAGCCTTGCATCCTCAGCTGTACGAACAGCTAACAAGGCCAAAGCTAGACTCATCGCCGTTTTAACCCGTGGTGGAACGACGGCCAAGTTGGTTGCCAAGTACAGACCGGCGGTTCCTATCCTATCGGTGGTCGTCCCGGTTTTAACGACCGATTCGTTTGATTGGACCTGCAGCGACGAAGACCCGGCTAGACAGTCTCATATACAGGGGCTTGGTTCCCATACTGGCAGAAGGCTCGGCAAAGGCAACGGATGCCGAATCTACAGAGGTTATCTTGGAAGCTGCATTGAAGTCAGCCACGGAGAAGGGGCTGTGCAGGCCCGGTGACGCCGTCGTTGTGCTTCACCGTATCGGTGCTGCTTCGGTTATTAAGATCTGCTTGGTGAAGTGATGATGCAGAGAAGCATGTAAGCGCACCAAAAAGCCGACTTTCTTAATATTTGCAATTTAGAACCCTTTTGTTGTTATTAAAAACAAAACACTGGTTGTTTTTTAGTACGGTATTAAGCTGAAACCATGTTTTGTCTCAGCTTTTCGGGTCGGATACATGGATATGAAACTATAAAACTATCTGATTAGCATGTGTATCAGACACATTTATTCAATGTTTGCTTTATAATAAATATCAATATTCTTTGACGAGCACGAATTAACTTACTTTAATGGTTAAAAGAATCGTTGTTGTTCTTAGAGATCACTGATTTGAGCACCAACGAATGTAGTGGAGTGATTGAGCGTTGATTGTCAAATAGTTGAAAGTATTTAGAGTATATACTACTTTGTAATCACCTTAGTCTAATAAAAAATATACTCTTTGAATATTAATACCTTTTTTAAAATGAGTTGAGTGAAACTTTGATTTTCATATTTTCTTGTTGTAGGTTCGATTACTTATCTTGTTATTGGGTTGTGACAAAGGATTCATTAATTAGATCGGTTTAAGTAAAATTCGATTAAAAAATTAATTGTATATTTCAATTTATAACTATCGTAAATTTTTGGGTAAATTATGCATTTAGTATCTAAACTATCAATTTTGATTTATTTCGGTACTTAAACTTTCAAATTTTTTTAAACCATAGCTAAAGTTTAGTTTTGATTCCTTTTAGTACCAATCCGATAAAAATTTTAGCTTTTGTTTCATTTTAGTATCCCGTTCAAAATTTAACATGAAGTGTTGAAAAAATTTAAATTTATATACTAAAACGGACAAAACTTATACTTTAGGTATTAAATGCGTCAAGTTTTTAACAATGAGATACTAAAATGAAATGAAAACTAAAGGCTATGTATGATTTTGAAAAAATTAAAAGTCTAAATACTAAAATAAACCAAAACTGATAGTTTATGCACTAAATACATAGTTTACCCTAAATTTTCGCTTCCTCAAAAACTATAGATTTCAAATTCTAAATATAACATACAAATTTAACATAAACTAAAATTTATACAACATTTATATCGAACATTTTTCTTAAATAAATATAATAATAATCTTTTAAAATTTTAATAGTAAAAGATAAAATTAATATTTCAAAAAATCTAAATTGGAGAATTTGGATTTAGCTACCCATAAAGATTAGACCCGGTTATTCTCGTCCTCTCATTCCTCATCCACTATCCTTGTTTCCATCCACGATTAACTCCGTGTCCAAACATCATTTTCCATCTCAACCAATTTGTCAAATATATTTTAAAATATGTCACAGAAACCATTTTTATTTTTAAAAACATACTTTAATTTGCTAATATTGAAATTTGATAAGTATAACATCAAATAAAAATACTTTAAAAATAATTAATTAAATCTTATGATTTAAATATTATATAAGATTAGGCAAAATAGAATGATCATCCAGCTCAGTTGGTAGAACATAAGGTTCTTAACCTTGAAGTCGTGAGATCGAGTCTCATAGAGGGTATTTCATAATTCGAAAGTCTCCTACGAAAGCTGTTCTCAACTTAGTATTAGAGACAACCTACTATCTCACCTCCCCTTACTCCATTATATATGATGGGAACAAGACCATTTATAAGATTAGACAAAATCCAAAAGACTGGTAATAAAGGGCTCCCCGCTGCTCCTCCCTCCCTTTCCTCCGTCTAACGGTAATCGAGTTGAGCCACTAGGAAGAATATCGTTTCTGAATCGGATTGAAACCCTTTTTTTTTTAGGATTCGATCGTACAAGTTTGGGGTTTTTGTCGGGGAAAGGAAATAATCTGTTGTTCGGAAAGCTAGAATAGAGATGAGTACAAGTACATATGGTTTATGCCTCTCTTCGGCAACGCCCGGTTCATGTTTGATCATATGCTCCAATGGGAGATTCGAAGCCAAAGCCTCGATGATCACGTTGAAACCGGCGTCGTTTCAATCCACTGCGACTGCCGTCAACGTTTCTATAAAAACGAGGAGAAGGGCTGTTTCCTGTCAAGCTGCCTCCGCCGCTTCCGTCGACGAGGACGAGAAAGAGGCGTCGGTTTCGGGATCGGAGGAGGCTAAAGTTGGGGCCAAGGTTAGGGTAAAAGCACCCCTCAAAGTTTATCATGTGAATCGAATCCCGGAGCTGGACCTGAACGGCATGGAAGGAGTGATTAAACAATTCGTGGGGGTCTGGAAAGGGAAAAAGATTTCAGCTAATCTTCCTTACAAGGTGGAGTTCGTCACCGAGGTTGAAGGACGAGGACCTGTTAAGTTCTTGGCCCATCTTAAGGAGGATGAATTGGATTTCCTTGATTAGTATCATGGCTCTCATCTGTATATCAGGCAACATATCCTATAACCATAAAAACCCAATAATTGTTCATTGTTGTATGTAATTATTACCTGTACCTTTCAGTTCTACCTGGGAATAAGCATTTTCCTAAGGTAGCTCTGTTTGAGACTTTATCACTTAGGCCATCAAGCTTTCATTCTACTGGTACATTTCTTAGTCATCATCTTCTTAACCAGCTTATAAAGCATGACACGATGAAATAAATACTTTCTATTGCATGTTTGCAGCTGCCTCTTCTTTCAGTTTTTGTTAAGATTGGGCCTCAAAGATACATTCATATCCAAACATTTAGACTGCAAACATTTTACGACCAACGATGCAAGACAACAAAAAAAGGAGATAAATTCATATCCTGACATTTAGAATGCAAACATTTTCCGAGCAGAGATACAAGATGACGAAAAAAAGATGAGCGTCGACCCCAAGTGCCTAATTACGGAGCCTCAAAGTTGAAATGAGTCAAAGAAGTCGGAATCAAATGCACCTTCCCTACAAATTAAGGGTAAACAAACTTGACAATCAGAAGCATATGGAAATAAATTCATATATAGGAAGAAGTAAAATCATCTTCGATGTTCTTTTAGACTATGCAAGAGGTTTACAGTAAGCAAAACAACCGGCGTGCTTAGGTGCCGACTGGAATAATACAGGTCAAGTTTGAGCATGAATCAATTATCAATAAGAAGATAGAATGCTTAAACTTCCGGTTTCTAGCACAGGTTGCATGCGAAACATAAGTGCCTGTCCAACTATTTCCATGAACGAGACGTGAAAAATCAAATAAAATCAAACTCGAATGCCTCAACAAACAAATTGCATACGTAAGAGCTCAAAGACATACCTGCATTTTAATTTGTCTCGGACGAAATCATTCCTGTTTTCCTTGCATATGCAAAGATCCCTCCAGCTTCAATGACTGGCCCTGCATCCCCAATGGGATTCAGTTTATACTCTTTGCCGGTGGAATGATTGATCAAACGACTCTCCCCCAACTGGATAGTCACCATATCCCCAGTCTTACATTCCTTGCATATTCTCACTGAAGATTCAAATGGATAAACTTCCCCGGTTGCAACAGAATTCCTGAAAATATTCTAGCATAAGATTCAGCCACCACTGCCTTTGCTCCTGCAGCCCCAAGTGCAACTGGTGCATGCTCACGCGATGACCCACAACCAAAGTTAGCACTACCGATCACGATGGAGTATTTTGTCTTAGTCTCGTTCGGTTCAATAAATCGTGTAGTATATGATGAAGGGAGACCGACAAAAGCATAAGAGCCCAGTTTCTCATACTCAACTGGGTTTGAGGGAACTAATGTAAGGTATTCAGCAGGAATTATTTGATTCGTGTCGATATTATCCCCAACAACATAACAAAGGCCATGGAAGGTTGTTGTTGAAGTGTCGGAAGGAACAGATGAGGGAGTCAAGATGGCATGTGTTGTGAGACTAATGGCACATGCCGCATGTGGAGCGAAGGTGGAACTGAGGGGTTTGACAGTCAAAGGGGAGAAGGTGGGGACTTTGATGGATGAAGGGGATAGAGAAGGTGAGAAAACTGAGACTTTTGATGCTGAGAAAGTGAAAGCGGACGGGTATGAAATGCGAGTCAAAGAGGCAGCCATTACTAGAGTATTTAGTGTGCGACTGATGCCCAACTTGAAATTTCACCGAGTAAGCACAAAGCAATGTTCTGCAATAGAGTATTCAATTAAGCAATGGGATCATGTAAGGACCTGAAAGCATACAAATACATACAAATGTACAAATAAATGCCTGCTGATATATACATATATATCGTAAAAAAATCCATGTAAGAACACATACTGCAATTACAAACCACGTTCATTATCCTCTCTCTCTCTCTCCGCCTCTCACATAGTACAGGTACAGCTCTACAGGGCAGGCTGAATAAAAGAGGATGCAACAGCAATAACCTAAAAGTTGATCATTCAAGAGAATCATGGAATGGAAATATGGTTTTGCACCATGAAAATTGCATGAAACCCCCAAATTTCAAGTCTATACTATCAGTGCTAACAAACCCAGAATTCATGCTCAAACATCCCGATCCTTCGTATGACATTACCTTCGTAAAACTATTTACAATTTAAATGAAGATTTCAACGTTACAGAATCACCAGAGAATAACGATAAAAAAAAGTGATAGGAAAGTGAAAGATGAAGAAGATTAAAATAAAACACTTTTGATCTGGTGGTAATGCCGATTGACGGCGGATTTGGGTTCAGCGGTGAAGTATGTAAGCGGCGGTTTCTCTAAAAGCGGCCGGTGTTGTTATTGTAGCCGCTAGTCTGGGGATGGGCATGGCTCAAGTTGCGGACAACTCGACCCGAAAATTTTACATCATTCACAATAATATCATTCTAATTTAATATAAAAAAAGCATAGATAAATAGATACAATTTTATGTACGTAAAATTTAAAATTCATATAATTTAATATGTTTTTACATTCATGTTAATGAAATTATTTAAACCTTGTTCTACAGTATATCATGAAGACGTGTTTTATTATATGAATAGATAGAAGGGGATGGGTAAGGAGAATCGTCTTTTAAAAGTTTCAATTTATCATACAATTTAGATATTTTTTATTTTTTGTTAATAATATGATTTCATCTCTTAAAATTTTATAAGTTTACCTTCCTTAAAATTTTAGAAATCACTCCTCTTAGTATAAAATTATATTTATGTTCCTATGTGTTAACACAAACACAAGTTGAGCATGGACAATAATACATGTATAGACTTTGTTTTCAATCACTAAATTAATGTGTATTCAAAATAATAATATTCAAATTTGGGGGATTTAATTAATATAAGATTCAATAATGCAAATTTATACTAATTAGACATTCATTTTTTTTAAATTTAACTATTTTAAACATACTTCTAATAATTGATTAAAGATAGAGTTTATATTAATAATTTTAAGGGTAAATTATGCCTGTAATACCTAAACTATCAGTTTTGATTCATTTTAGTACCTAAATTTTATTTTTTTTAAAAATTATATTTAACATTTAGTTTTTGTTTCATTTTAGTACCCCACGGTTAAAAACTTAACGGATGGGCACGGCGGTCACTGCGTCTACAGTAATCAACAGTCGTATCCGTCAGCCGATGAAGCATAAACTTTCAAGCCCACAACTTTTTGATCCCTAAACGTGATTCCAACCTTCGTTTCATCGAAAAATCCCTCAATCACCCAAATCGAAGATGGGTTATTTGACTTCTTCATCCTCCGATCTCTGTCGTCAACCGTCTGATGGGCTTGAAATTGAACTATGATGGTCGACTCGTCATTCTCTCGTTGTCTATTGTTCAGATTGGTCATCTTTCCATCGAAGTTATGTCTCATCGCCCGTTCCTTAAGTTTTTAACGACATGTACTAAAATAAAATAAAAATTATATGTTATGTATGGTTTTAAAAAAATTAAAAGTTTAGGTACTAAAATAAATTAAAACTGATAATTTAAGTATTAAATACGTAGTTTATTTTAAATTTAAAAAGATTAGGGGTTAAATTTATTTTAATATAATTTAATAGTTATATATGCAGTTTACCCATTTTTATTGGTTATATTTGGATAATTTAGCCCAGACCAGCAGTTCCGTACCGACTCAAGCAACCAGAAGATGAGATGAGGGGTTTAGGATTGAGTTGGCCCACCTACTCATCCACAACCCAGTCTCTGCTTCCCATCTGTAGCCGATATTATCCATCTTCTTTTGATCTTCTCTTTTCTTTGCCTAAGAAGTCACCCTTGTACTACCATTTCACTCACTCCTCTATCTCTTCTTCTTCCAATTACTAATCTCTAACATCCTTGGAATTCAGCTATGGCTTCCAATTTGCAGAAGGAATCCACTTCTTCCGGTGAGCTTTAAACCCCTCAGATTCCTTTTTTTGTTTTAATGTTGAATTGGGTTTGGAATTTGTTCTGAGATATATGTTGCATGTTAAATTTTCTTCCTTTTGGTACTATTTTTGGGTTATGAATTGATTGGATTTTTGGGTCAATAATGAAATTGTTAACTCTCATCGTTGTTGTTGTCAATGCTGCCTTTAAATTCTTCCTCTTGTAACTGAATCAGGGTTTCATCTACTAGAGATTTGATTAGTTTCGTTTTCTTGGAGCTTAGTGTTTTTTTCTGGATTACTGCATGGCTTTTAAGAGTTAGTAAACTAATAGATGGTCGGTCTTTATGTTTTTGTTTTTCCAGATGAGAAATCAACAGAAACATCCGCCACTGAGAACAAAACTTCGAAGCCGGAAGCTTCTGCTGCGGAATCACAGCCTGCACAGTCTGGAGCTTATCCTGCCACCATGCCTGGACCTGGGTTTGTTCCACCGAATCCGTTCGATTTCTCGGCCATGAGTGGCCTTCTTAATGTAAGCTTTTCTCTTTTTCACTTGCCTTTTGATAATCATTTCTCTTCTTTTTCTCTATGGCCTTGCTAAGGCTGTGTTTGTAGTATAGTCGAGTACGTTAAGCTTTACGGTTAATCACTGATCGGCCATGTCAACACCTCGGTTGTATTAAGGCTGGGAACTAAAAGAACATTGTCCGCTGATAAATTTGTGAGCTTGGATAAATCTTGTGAAGTAGTCTGTAATTTCACTTATACAAGGAATGTTAAATTTTGTTTTATGGGGCATGTGTTCAACTCGTTTTGGGTAATTTCGAGTTTTAGTTTCAGGTCACCTTTGTTCCGGCCAATTAAATTCCTTAGAGAGTGATTACTTTTCCCCCAAACCATATGCCCGTTTCATCAAATTTTAATTTTATGGCTTATGGCTCTTAATCACCTTGGTTTGTTAGGATCCAAGCATCAAGGAACTAGCTGAGCAGATAGCGAAAGATCCATCATTTACCCAAATGGCAGAACAGCTCACTAAGACGTTTCAAGGGGCAGCGACTGAAGATAGTGTGCCACAGCTTGATCCACAGCAGTACTATTCAACTATGCAACAGGTTATGCAGAATCCCCAGTTTATGACCATGGCTGAGCGCCTTGGTAATGCATTAATGCAGGTGTGCGTTCAGTTGCAAGTTTAAGCACATGCATTCATGGTTCTTTTAATGTTTTTCCCTTGTATTACAGTACATGAAATCACATTGAAAGATGAAGCTTTCGTTTTGACTTTCTTTAGGATCCGGCTATGTCTAGCATGCTTGACGGTTTGACTAATCCTCAACACAAAGACCAGATTGAGGAACGGATGGCACGTATGAAAGAAGACCCATCGTTGAAACCTATTCTAGATGAAATAGAGACTGGTGGTCCTGCAGCGATGATGAAGTGGGATTAGTAGCATCATAATTTTATGGGCATAACGTATTATTCCTCATTAGAATGAGTGTAGGATGTGTTTTCGTATTTTTTTCACTAAAGGTTTTGTATTTAGGTATTGGAACGATAAAGATGTTCTGAAGAAGTTGGGTGAAGCAATGGTTCTTCCAGTTTCAGGAGAAGCAGCCACATCTGCTGGTTACTCTGCTGCAGATGAAGGTGATGAAGTGGGGAATGAGGATGAATCGATCGTACACAATTGTGCTAGTGTCGGTAATGTTGAGGTACGGTTTACTGAACTGTTTGTACGTATGTTTCTTCCCCTTCGACAATCTGTAAAGTTTTTTACACTGATCATGGTTTAGGGCCTGAAAGCTGCACTAGCCTCTGGTGCTGACAAGGATGAAGAAGATTCAGAGGGAAGGACAGCGTTGCATTTTGCATGTGGATATGGCGAGGTATGATTATTTAATAACTGAATCTTTCTCCCCGACAATGTAGTTTCTAACGAAGACAAATTTGATGCAAAAACCAGATAGATTCAATCACCAATTGCCTACAAAGCATGCAGTGTCCATGGCAGTCACTAAAGCTAACAAACTCGATATAATTACAGGTGAAATGCGCTCAAGTCCTTATTGAAGCTGGAGCAAAAGTTGACGCTCTGGACAAGAACAAGAACACCGCGCTTCACTACGCCGCCGGTTATGGTAGGAAAGACTGTGTAGCCCTTCTACTGGAAAACGGTGCTGCTGTGTAAGTAAACAACTTGTATCAGCCAACCATCGATGCCGACTCTTATGTTATATACTTTCCCTTTCTCGAACGTAATTTCTTGTCTCTCACTGCAGCACTCTCCAAAACATGGATGGGAAGACGGCCATCGACGTTGCGAAACTGAACAATCAGCACGAGGTGGTCAAGTTGCTGGAGAAGGATGCGTTCCTGTGAGTTGGGACCGTCGGCAAGTAGCATGTGTTCGTGCATGTGGTAGGGGCGTTTTCTCTGTGCTATTAGAAAAAAAAAACAAATTTGCTTTGATTTTGTATGCGGTTATGTGATCATTGGCACAGCTCAACCAGTTGGCTTTGCTGTCTGGTTGCTACATATATCACATTTTTTTTAATATTACTGTTATTTATTTAATTTTCTGAAATATTTTCTATGTAGGGGAATGTTTTTGGCACATGCATTTCACTGATGTGTTTATGTATGTTAAGAGAGATTAGTGGGGTGTTTTCCATATTTAATTAGAGGGTAAGTTACGTGTTTAGTACTTAAACTATCATTTGATCCGTTTTAATACCAAAATATTCAATATTTTTAAAATCATACTTAACGTTTAGTTTTTGGTTTATTTTAGTACCTGATGTTTAAAACTTAACGGACGAACTTGTTGATCGTTGCATCCATAGTCACTGACTCTTGCATCTGTCGGCCGATGAAGCTAAATTTCAAATCTGTACCTTTTCGAACCATGAATGTGGTTTTGACCTTTGTTTCTTCGAAAAATGTCTCAATCTTTTCAAATCGATAATTGGCTCTTCAATTTTTTAATCATCCGATTTCCGTCGTTAATCGTCCGATGAGTTTGAAATTTAATTATATTGATCAACTCGTCATTTTATTGTGGTTCACTGTTTGGATGTCCATCCATCGAAATTATATCCCATTAGCTCATCCATTAAATTTTTAGCAAGAGGTATTAAAATGAAAAAAAATTAAATATGATTTTTAAAAAATTTAAAAATTTAGATATATTAAAATGAATAGTTCAAATATTGAATAAGTTATTTATCTTTAATTATAATTAATGAACCACCGACGGACCGACATGCTACATGGGAAACTAGCCATGTGCTATGTGTTATTATAATATCTTTTAGATTGGGCTGCGCCCACTGGCCTGTACAAAGGCAAAAAGGGAAAATGTATTTTGATGAAAGCAAAGCAATAAAGAAAAGAACATGGGAAATTGTGACCTTGAATTTTGAATTCATTCCTAGATCTTAGGACATCTTGATTCAAGTTATCCATGTAATTTTCAGAATTAACAGGAACATAATAAGAAATTGATCTCAAAATTTAAATATAATTTGTTTTGGCAAGTATTCAAACTAATAGGGACCAAAATTGTTATAATAATTGAAGATTTTGGTTGAAAAATTTAGAATTCAAGGATCAATTTAAAATATGAGTTATATTAAAGGATATCCAATGGAATTAAACGGTTAAACTTTAAGTCAAAGTAAAGGAACGAGGGGGTCAATGGTTCAACTTTGGAAGACAAATCCAAAATAAAATAAAAAAATTGGCATTTGAGTGGCTGGCTTGATGGCTTTTTGAATGACGTGCGTGTCAAGTTTAGGCTGCGTATTTTATTTTACACGTGTAAACAACTGAATAAAGCAGCTGATATATATATATAGGTGCAAGATACTCTAATACGATATAAAATTCTTTTAGTTTTACATAAATTTAAGATTGTTTGACGAGTGAAAATAGACGACTGAGATTAAAATTAAGAAATACGAAAATATTTATTGAAAAAAATAATAAATCAATCTTAACCATATATTTTCATTTATCCAACGATCTAGTTTTACATTATGTAAGTGAATTATATGTGTGTGTATATATATATATATAGTTTTACATAGATCTAGAACCGTTTGATGAGTGAAAATATATGACAAAGATTAACAGTAAAAAATGAGAAGATATTCATTGAAAAAAAAAACAAGGAAGTGGGAAAGCCAAGCCGACCCGACCCGACCCGACCACGACCACGACCACGACCCGACACGGACGGCGGCGGCGGCGGCGCACGAGAGTCCCCATTGTTCTCTATCACTCAACAAGGAAGTGGGAAAGCCAAACCTTAAATACCATTCCCAATAGTGTTTCCAATACTATGTGGGATTGAGCATTACCAACACTTGTTTCCAATACAATGTGATTATTCAGGAAACAATTAACAATCATGCACCTTAAAACAACTGAATCAGCAACCAATTGCATTAGTATTATACGATTAAATATGTCATAATTAAAAATCAATCTACAATCAATCGCGATTATTGCAATTTTAAGCAAAACATTCAAAAATAATATCACTATTTAAGGTTCAATCTCACATAGTATTGGGAACAAGTGTTGGTAATGCTCAATCCCACATAGTAATAGAAATACTATTGGGAATGGTATTTAAGGCTTTGCTTTCCCACTTCCTTGTTGAGTAATAGAGAACAAGGGGGACTCTCGCGCGCCGCCGCCGCCGTCTCGTCTCGGGTCGTGGTCGTGGTCGTGGTCGTGGTCGTGGTCGTGGTAATAATAGGTGTCTTCGACACGTCCGTACGAATACTATCTTTTTAGTGAGGTTATTTTTTCTTTTTTTTTATTAGTATAAAATGAATATAAGTGATAGCAGGAAATATCGAATACAAATGAATAAATTTATTGTCTTTAATGTTACGTTACTATTATAAATAATCATTTTTAATATTATAATAAATAAATAATAACAGTAGATTTCTGTCCTGGCGTCCCCTTTGGTCAATTCTCTTTTTGAGTCCCCCATAATGCACTAAATTAAAAATGCTGTCCCTATATTTTTGGACAAAATTCGTCCTTATACCCATGTCAGGTCAGATTACAGGTAACGAGATAGAATATTTGAATCAAATTCGGATCGATAAAAAATATAGTTTGATTTGACTCATATTTATCCTTAATCTTAAAAAAATTGAAAAAAGGAAATTCACACGAGCATTTAAATTAAAGTGTTATGTATTTAAATTAATTAATAATATTCTAAAAAATATGATGATTTAATCCTCAATTGGATCAATATAAAGAAACTAAATCTCTAATTTATTATTATTACCATTTTATCAATTCATCTCAAGAGTAAAAAGATTAAGGGTAAAGTACACAAATGGTCCACCGTAATCTCAAACGACTATCATATCCCAGCCATCATGTTAACGTCTAACTTAGACAATCGTCATTTTTTTAACAAAAAAGATGACGTGTTTGAAACATAAATGAATAGTCAAGTGATCAAGTTATAACTTTTAATAGTTGAAGAGTTAACAAAGCAATATTCTATAGTCGAATGATCATTTTGTAACTTTTAATAGTTAAAGGACTCAATAAAATAATACCCTATAGTCAGGGACCATTTTTGTACTTTACCCAAAAATCAATTGATAACTTAACAATTTAATAATTTTAGTATAGTTGAATTAACCCCACCATTAACTAAACTATTTTACCTTGTTAATAGGGATGGGCATGGGTTTGGTTTGGGTCGGGTTTCGGTCAACCTGACCCGACCCGAAAATTTGACATCACTCACCGACTCGACCCAATCCGAAAAATATATACACTCCACCCGACCCGAACCCGACTCAGTTTTTTGAAATAAAATCCGAACCTGATCCGAACTGAACTCGAAATAATAATAATAATAATATTATTTTTATTCAATAAAAAATAATGATTTAATTGAAAAAAAATAATATATAGAGGGATATTATTGTAATTATTCTTAAATATATAAGGTAAAATTTCGGGTATTTTTCACCCTAAACTCGAATCCGACCCGAATATCACCTTTAAAAAAACCCGACCCGAACCCAAATTTTTTTAAAAAAATCCAACCTGGTCGGGTTAGGTCGATTCAAAACCTGTCGGGTTCGAGTCTCATGCTTATCCCTACTTGTTAACGTAATTAAAACCTCAAAAATTAAGGATTTGGTCCTTCTACTATCTTAAATTTATAATTTTAACCTCTATACTTATTTTATCATAGTTTAATCCACATGCTTTTAGGAATGAAACGTTAATATAAAAGATATTACAACTAATTACTTTGACATCAGTTGTTTTTTTTTTTTTTTATGTTAGCAAGGAGTACTTTCAAAAATATCTATCAACTAGGGTAGAGGGTATTAACGATGAATGATGTCGAGATCAAACATGGACAAGGTTTATATCTATAGGATAAATATCTATTAAGTACTTAAATCTAAAAATTAAGAAAATTAAAAGTCTTATTTAACTAATATTTAAACAAAAAAAGGCCTCAAATATCATTATACTAAAAAACTTGGAGGCATAACTAGGAATGTGCATTTGATTCGAACCTAATGGATTCTAACTTGATTCGACCCTATAGGGTTAGGTTTTTTTTTTATTGTTAAAAATCCATATTTGATCCGGTTTAAGTTTTAAAGGAAAGAATTCGGTTATATTCAGGTTTATGATGAAAAATATCTGATCAATTTGAGAATAATATTATAAACTTTTATATATTTAAGACAATTACTATAATACCCATATATCTATATTTTTCAATTAAATATGTATTTTACTAAACAAATATAAATTTTTTAAGTATTTATATCTGATCGAGTGATTTTAATTTATAAAGTTGAATTAAGTGACAAATAAAAAAATATTATATTAGTATAAAGTTCAGGTGGACCAAAAATCTTTCCCGACTCAAACCATAACCATCCATAACTTCACAATATTATATTAGGACTCTATCCCTTGTATTAACTACTTAAACTAATTATCAAAGTAGAATGATTAAATTATGTGAAATTAAACCATAAGAACTAATTCTCAAATTCGAGTATAATAGAGAGACCGAAATCAGAATTTGACCTTTTTAGTAACTTTTACCGTTAAAGAATCAGGTGTGTCGATGAATAGAATATTAAATATGAAAACAGTCCTAATTTTTATTTTTGTATATATATTATTTATATAATAATACTAAAAAATTATTACTAGGACTAGAGGGTTTGTTGTGTTATATATACATATTGTGAGTACTGTTTTTGGGCCTGCAAGAATCGGCGGTGTGGGGGAGGTGGGAGAGACAGTGTGCGTGTGTGCTCGGTGGAGCTTTGAGATCTCTGTCCGTCTTGGAATCCAACCGAGCGCCACAAAAACAGTTTCAATCTTTTCTCTTTTTTGCTTTGAATTTTTTTTTTCCAGAAATGGATTTGGTGAAGAAACAATCATCGGCGGTGTCCGATGTGGGAGCTTGGGCTATGAACGTTATCAGCTCCGTTAGCCTTATTATGGCTAACAAGCAGCTCATGGCCCCTGCCGGCTACGCCTTCGTCTTTGGTCCGTTCTTTGAATTTTCTTTTACATGCTGAAGATTTTTTGTTTTTTTGCCTCTGTTCATCTTAGATCTGGATCGATTTCCCCCCTTTCTAAACCTCTGGCAGATCCATTGGATTTTCCAGATTTTTTTTATTTGTTGGCTTCTTATCTTTTTTGGGGATGGGAAAAGATGGATTTTTAGTTGGAGTTTTGTTGGTTTTTACTGAAGAAAAGAAAGAAAAGTTAGAGATTTCAATGTCCATTGATTTTAAATTCGGCGATGGATTATGGGACTTTTAAGTTCAGATCTTATCCTGCAAAGGGCAAATTCGGATCCCAAATCTCTTTCATTACGACTGTGTTTCCAGATCTTAACGTGCATGATCATTCTTTAGAATGGGATCTCTAGTAATTTGTAATCTTAGAGTCTTTCATTGTTCAAACTTGAAATCAACATGCTTTTTTGTTAGTAGAACAGATGAGAATCTCTAGAATTGCTTGTGATCCAATTTAGTTTGATCCCTTAACTTCAAATGTTTTGAACCTTTGATGAGTTGAATTCTGTGTTTGTGTAAATCTGAACATATTTCTTACATTTACAGCTACTACATTAACCGGGTTTCACTTTTCTATGACCGCCTTAATCGGCTTGGTATCGAATGCCACCGGTCACTCGACGAGGAAAAAAGTTCCTCTATGGGAGCTTCTTTGGTTCTCGGTCGTCGCCAATACTTCGATCACCGGGATGAATTTGAGCCTCATGCTGAATTCTGTTGGATTTTATCAGGTAAAAGAAATGTTATACCAAAAAGAAGCATCGATAGTAGGTTTCATTGTCATTATGATGTAGATTTCATGTATTCCATCTATGTCATTGTCATTGTCATTGTGATACAGATTTCGAACCCCTTTTGGTTATCTTCATGGTATGAATTTCGAAGCTAACCCTTTTGTTTATCATTATGATGCAGATTTCAAAGCTTAGTATGATTCCGGTTGTCTGTGTGATGGAATGGATACTACACAGTAAACACTACTCGGATAAAGTCAAGATTTCTGTCATGGTGGTGGTGGTTGGCGTCGGTGTTTGTACGGTCACGGATGTTAAAGTTAACGCTCAAGGATTTATTTGCGCTTGTGTCGCTGTCCTGTCTACCTCATTACAACAAATTGTAAGCATTTCTCATTTGCCGATTTTCGTTTATCCTTTCAGCTGTCATATGATTACAGTGCATGATAGTATAAAGCCTTCAAACCATTACAAAAATTATGTATGATGAATGCCAGATGTTTTGAAAGCTCGTATTTTGTTTTAGTATGGGTATTTAAAACACGGTAACATGTGTCTTCTACGTTAATGTGAATGTGTCTGTTTCATGCCACAGCTTCTAGTGATCTAGATCTTAGAGGATCTAGCCAAACGTTTTAACAATCCGTATTTGATTCGTTCTACCTACTGAGTAATCAATCACGCTTTTGTTGGAACAGTCAATTGGCTCCCTACAGAAGAAATACTCGATAGGCTCATTTGAATTGCTTAGTCAAACAGCTCCGATCCAAGCTTTGTCTCTTTTATTGTTCGGTCCCTTCGTTGATTACTACCTCACCGGAAAATTGCTGGCAAGTTATAAATTCTCCTCATTTGCACTCGTAAGTACTCCTTGTCTCTTCAAAGCACCGCATACCATCTTCGCACACCTATATGCACGAACACTATATGGTACCGAGACTTGTAGTGAAAATACTGATATGGCTATGGGGTGATTGTTAAAAATGCAGTTTTTCATACTGCTGTCGTGCTTATTGGCGGTATTCTGCAATATAAGTCAGTACCTTTGCATCGGACGATTCTCCGCGACGTCGTTCCAGGTCCTGGGGCACATGAAAACGGTCTGCGTATTGATATTGGGATGGCTACTGTTCGATTCGGAGCTGACGCTGAAAAACATACTCGGGATGGCGGTTGCGATCCTCGGCATGGTAGTTTACAGCTGGGCAGTTGAGGCTGATAAACAAACTGAAGCCAAGGCTTCAGCACTGCCCAAAGATGCTTCTGAAGAAAACGTTGAATTGTTGAAGCAGCAACAGCAATCGGACGGTTCATCTCCACTCAAGGACGTTGAGCTAGGCAAATCTCAGTCTTAGATTTGTATTTTGTCTTTTTTTTTTTAATTTTAAATATTGATTTGTTCAATGTAGAAATTATTTGTTTATTATTTTTAAGTTGTTTAATATGGATTATTGTTTTATGTTTGACATATATAAATATAAAATATTTGATAAATATAGGTGTTGATAAATTCATATTAATAAAAAAATGATAAATTCAGATATTAAATGTATTAGGTGAAATAACATAGACGAATAAATTGTGAAAAAGATAAGAATAATTCAATTGGGGAATTCAAGGTTGATTCATGAATGAGCAGCTTTACTGTTATGATCTTCGATTTCTTGTTCTGATAGCGACGCGTATTCATTGTTTTCTGTGGGCACTCACAAATAAAAAATCTGTCCGTTAAAAGAATCTTTTTATCCATACGAAAATAGATTCGAATCGATTAAGTGATTTTAGTAATAAAAAATGTTATTTTATTTAAAAAAAAAATAAGTTCGAGTCATTGTGTACGTAAAACGTGTGCATTATTAATAGACTAAAAAGAGTTATGAACAAGTACTATGTTCGAATTATTGCAAAGTATTCAAAAAGATATCCATTAGAATATAAATAATGAGCTATTTGATATATATTTGTGTCGAGTTAAATTGAGTACGAGTTTTTACCTCAAAATCGTATCAAATATCAAGTATGGCGAGTCCTCCTAAACCCAATTGAATGTGTGTAAAGAGATTTAATTTTCAAGTCGAGTTCGAATGGATAAAAACATGGTTTTCAGAACCGGACCGGTCAGTGAACGGCCTTGCTATCGGTTCACTGGTTCAACCGGTCGAACTGGTCAGACCGATCGGAAGAACCGGACGACGTCATAATTAATTAATTATTTAAAAAATTAAATAAAAATATAAAAAACATTTAATAAAAAATAATTTTTTATATCACATGTCATATTCAAAGCAAATTATAACATATATAAGTTAAAAACCATAAAATTAAGTGAAACAAAATGATTCAAATCAACTATAACATAATATTTAACGTAAAACATATTAAATAATAAATATAATTATAATCAAAAAATAAATTTGGGGCTAAAAAAATCATAACAAATGATGTCGTTTGGTTTATTTTTTTTTTTAAAAAATCCCACATGGCTAAGAAACATAGAAGAGCATCCCAACTGACTTCTATAAATAATAGAAGTAATTTGACATTCAAAATCATGGAGCCTTTTAGTGAGCACAGAGCGAACTATTTTTTTTACTTTAATCGAGCTCGAATTTCAGGCTTCAATCGAGCTTCTAAAATTTTTTTGACTTCGAACTTTTTTGAGTTCAAATTTCAATATTATATTTCAAGTTCGAGTTGAACTTGATAATTTTTAACTTGTGAGTTTTTGAGTTGAGTTGAACTTACTTTTAAAACGACGTTGTTTGATTTAATTTTTTTTTAGAAAAAAACAGAACTGGTTTTCAACCGGTTCACGGTCCGGTTCGAACGGTTCACAACCGGTTCAACGGTTCCGTACGGTTCACTAGTAGCGGTTTAACCGGTGTAGAATGAACCGGACCAGAAGCGGTTCCCGGTTGAACCGGCCGGTCTGATCCGGTTTTCAAAACACTGATTAAAAACTCAGTCAGACTCATGATCATCCCTACTATAACCATATACAACAATACAACATACATATTTTTATATATTTTTTTTGTTAAAAAATCAGCAATCAATGGATTAGCTTTAAACTGTTTGATATACAACTTGAAGCAGATCTAATATAAATCCAAATCGTTTTCTGGTTTGCACGCCTTGTACAAATTTGGACTAATCCATGAACATGAGGTCTTATAATGTTTGATAAAACGAAATGGCACGAAATACATCCAGTACCTGAAGGATACGATTTTGCTTCGGTCTTCGGGCACATCGGACCGGATGCTTTATTGTTGTTTCTTACTCGACTTTCACAGTTGGTTCATCGATCGGCATTGGACTGACATCTACACCCTGCAAAAAACCAGCATCAAGCCATCAACACAACTTTTCAGAGTTATCGTATCAGTTTCCGAATGTGATTGCGTTATATATGATATACTCGAGCTCGGGCGAGTATTGGAAATGAATATGTGTCCAAACACGGATCCAAACATCATATACGAATGCAAAGGTGTGTTATGGTGCTTTTATGTTCCAAAAGTTCATATTTGTAGTTACAGTCTCATCTGTCACAGATCCCCTAGGTTGCTCGACTGATCCTTTTTGGACCTGCGGAGAGAATATAAAGCCGATAAAAGTTTATCATTGAAATAAAGAAAATAAATCAATCGCAATCACAAAATCCGACATCGTAACATAGAGCGTACCGGATCTTTCGTATCTGGTCCAATCACTTCCCTCTTTACTCTGCTTGGAATGAGCTTACTGAATAAATGTGATGAGTGAAACGCAAAGACGAAAATCGAGCACAATCAGAAACGGTTGTGGATGTAAAATCTGGAAAAAGGAGAAGGAAGAAAGATAAATACCGGTCCTCATCAACGTCCATGTCCGAATCCGAGTCCCATCTTTCATCTCCATCATCCTGATCCTCATCAGCCTGAATAACATGAACAAAAAAGAAACCAAGTCAGAGGGCAATGTTGATATGAAGCTAACATGTAACATCAAGAAACTGAAGGAAATGTATCGATGCAAACTACAACCAGCTGCATTACACAGGCAGACTAAAGACGATTTCCGAACCAAAGCATATAGTTGTTTTCTCATATTCGAGCAAACTAACCCACTTTATGAAACACTTTAGTTGTTTAAGCAGGCTGTCGTGAATGTCGAACATCCCGAACATAGAAAGGAAAAATATTTAAGCAAAATGTGCAATGCCATCCATGGATACATAATAAAAGCACATTCAATTATGGGAATTATTGAAAAACTTGGAATAGAAAATGTCATAAATTTCCTCCGGTAAGGCAAAATTCCTATAAAATAAGAAGTGAGGAACACGCCTTGGGAAGCTCCGTATCAGGTGGCCTTTCTTGAAAATGGACGCTCGGCGAATGCTGAAGCTTTGAGAGATTGTCGAGTAGCCTATTACGAATTTCTTCAAGTAACCGGAGTGAGTTTTTGTTTTCCATGTTACTAGGGGCAACATGAAGAGTATAATCTGGACCGAAATACTCATAGTACTCGTGTTGAGGCATCTTGTCGTCAACTTCCATTCCAAGTGCAACTCCGGTCTGCTCACATTAACAAAGTAACCCACCACAAGTAAATTATAAATAGTATTCAATAAATCTAGCACCGATGTCATATGTCTTCCGATGAAATTTAATACGTTTTGCGTGTCGTTTCGAAATACAAAGACTATGAAGTGTTTACATATATATAGGGATAAAGATGAATCATGATTTAGACATCTTCCCAGTTAAACGAAACAAAAAAAGGGAAAAGAGGGAGTAGACACGTTGATCTAAAAGTCACCTTTACCGGTATCAACATTTGAAAAAAAATGGACAGGCCAATCACTTAAACATATCAGTATATATTCAATCAAAAAAGTGAGTTTGGCTACCTCATAGCACCAACAGCGAGCAACATTCCGAATGGTATACCCACCACCACCTAGAAGCAACAACGGGACATTGAATGATCTCATAAATTTAACACACTCCGCATGACCCTTGATTGAAAGATTGAAACACCCCAACCTATCTCCAGACAGAGAGTCAGCACCACATTGAAGAACTACAGCACGGGGCTTAAAAACTTCCATAACTTTACCAATGATTGGCTTAAACAAGCAATGATAACTCTCTTCATCAATCCCGTCATCCAAAGGAACATTGAGGGAATAGTATTTCCCTTTTGAATATCCAATATCACGTATATCACCTGTACCGGGAAAATAATCTCCAAATTTATGAAATGAAACAGTCATGACCCTGTCAGTTGTATAAAATGCCTCCTCCACACCATCTCCATGGTGGATATCAATATCGACATATAGAACACGCTACAACAAAGATAAAGGAAAAGCGCTATCAATGACAGAGACTATTCCATGAAAAACTGTTTCCCATGCGGAAACAAAAAATCTGTAGACTCTAGGAGTTAAACCAGTCATTCAGGTCAACACATATCATATTGAACTGGATAAGATTGGTACAAGAAGGAAACAATTAGATATTGATTTCGTTATGAAGAGTTTACTCGTGCACAAAAAAAAAACAAAAATTGCCCAATTCAGTAAAGAAAAGCCAGATAGAAAGTGTACAAGGAAATTAGGTATCGAACATATACCTGATGCTGCTTAAGAAGTTCCAGAATGGCAAGAACAATATCATTGACATAACAAAAGCCGGACGCCTCACACTTCTTTGCATGATGCAGGCCACCAGCCCAGTTAATGGCAATGTCACATAGACCATGGCTTAACTTGACAGCTCCGCCAACGGAGCCACCTGCATAAATTTGACAGAAGGAGTAAAGGCCATCAAAGACGGGACAGTCCTCACCGACATTGAAGCGCTTGAGCTGTCTGAGCTGATCTTGCTGCGTTTCAGGGGTTACGCTGCGGAGAAAGTTCACATAGTCATCGGCATGGAAGCGGCAAAGATCCCTATCCCTGGCAGGGAAGGGCTTGTGAACTTGCATATGCTGAAGCAGCCCATAGTGTGCTAGAAGGGCAATTCTGTGAGGCTTCATAGGGTGACCTTGGCCATAATAATAGTTCCCCACCTCCGGGTCATAGAAATAGCACACCTTCCTCTTCACGCCGTCGGCTCCCGAAGGTAATGAATTCCCTCCAGTCTCCATCAAACAATAAGCTTTCGGTGATTCAGTCTAAGTTTCCTCTCTTAACTTTTCTCCTGCTCTAATAAACAAAAATCCTAATCAGATTCACTGATAAAATCAACAAACCACACTCAGTTAACATCTCAAAGACAAAGAATTAAAGAAGAATTACACTCATTTAGCTCCATTTCAAGCATACAAACATGTGAAGGTCGCAAAACAAGAACCCCAACATTCACCAGATTTACCAAGGAAAAAAAAGAAATTCAATTTACATGATTTTC